GGCAGTAGAGTCTGTTAGAGACTGAATGATGTCTGTGTGGCAGCTTTCAGTTTGTATAACCATCTTAGAGGTGGGAAGGAGGAGGCACAGTGGTTCCTTCGGGTGGTGGTGGGCAGCCTAGATATGAGATAGAGCAGGGAGGGTGGTGTTCTGATGATGACCTCCCACCTGCCTTATCCAAGTAAACAGGGACTCACTTGAGCTGTGAAATCATTCAAGGCTAAATGTTTGAGAAGATTCAAGGACAAGAAACACGCTGAAGCGCCCTCTATAATGTTACTATCACTGTTTAGATACATACTAGAAATATTTCAAGGTGGGCACTTTTTTCAGGCAGGTGATACATTGCAATGATAACAGCAACTATGATGAACATTTTTATTCTATTATTGCCTTGACTGTAATAGTAATTAATTACTATTAACTTTTGATGATGAATGGTTTACCATCAAAATGCGCTAAGAATGTGTCTTCGTGGTGCCTGTGTGCATTTCATTTCTCAGTGTTTGACATGTCATTGTGTGCATTTGATGTTTAATGTGACTTAGCTGTGACTAGCTGTCTGTCAGGGTGTTCTGTATGTGTGTGGACATTGATCCCGTGATCCCCCAGCATACATGCTAGCAAACTACACACATACTGTGACTCACATCTCAGAGAGTACGTGTTTTGTCTTCACTCTCCATTACCCACACTCCCTCCCTGTTCCCTTATTCACCAATTCATATTGGACACATACACAAATGACAGTGGGCCAGAGGATTTGAGCTAAGCCTGACAATTTTGTACAGGCTTGTTTTAGAGTTCAGATTTGATGGGAGCAAGGAGTAGCGAGTGCCAGGCAGCCAGTACAGTCGTAGCAAGGAGGTGGGATGGTTGGAGGTTTGGTGGGATGCGGTGGGCTAAGGCAGTGGAAGAGGCAGAATGTCCAGAGACCCGCTGGAAGACCTTCTGGGCAGAGATTCATCCTCCATGTGTTCAAAAGCAGGTTGAGCAGCTCATCGTTCTGGTTACTTTTAACAGTCCAGTGGCTGAGTCACATACTCCTTTTAGCCTTGGTGAGCCACAGTGCTATGTTGTATTTTTGTGTTGAAACAGTGAAGTTATTCATGCCAGCACAGAAAAAAATTGGAACAAGCCAACTTATTCGTTTTTCTTGTGCTTCCTGACATAACAAGAGATTAGCTGAGGAAATGTGTGAGCGGTGGGGGAACACAACAAATTGGTGAAATATAGAAAAGCCATCCAGAATTATTTAGTTCTTAGTGATGAAATAAATATCATGATTTAAAAATTATACAGAAATAGGAAGTCTATAAAAATAAGTTGTCCAGTGTGCCCTACAGAACCATTTTAAAGAGTTATTGTTTTGGCATACACCATTCCCTGTGGCACAGCACTGTAACAGGCAACCTAAGAGCTCATGTTGCATTAATTGCCTCCCTGGAGTTAAGTTCTCCACTTCTTTTGATGCCCAGCGACAGGATGTGACAACACTGGTGACAGAGAGAGTGTGTGACACACTGCTGCCCTTCAGAGGATGCTAGGGGACTCGTCTAACAGTCTGTCCCTTACACAGCAACTTCACCCTTCCACCAGGGAGTGTTTGACCCAGCCTGGAGTAGCCACGTCACCACAGGAAAGGGGATAAGGGAGGTGTGGAGGATTACCAAAATATCCCCACATCACTGCAGCAACAGGCAGTCAAGCCTGAAGCATTTTCATGCGCGCACACACACACACACACAAACACACACAAACAAATAGAAATACTGACATCTCTACCAGGGAAAGGGCCTTTTCAGAAATGGTAAGAGTGCACCAAAAGCACAGTTTGTCAAGACATAGACTGAAAGTACAGAGGCAAGATTAAAAAAAAAAAAAAGATCATCTATTTTGTTTATGTTTTGGCGCCCTAAACTTTTTATTTATGAGTACATCTGCAACACATACCGCTGACCAGGCAAGGGATTAAATGTTTATCTCTGGGTCTCAAGCCTTATGACTCTACATTGAAATTTAATAAAGTGAATTTGGTTTTAATAGTGTGTGAAATGATCCCTAGCAGGCCCACTTTGCCTGCTTAGTTTTGATTGAGAGGGTCAGGGTAACAGCACGCTGTCCTGCTTGACTGTCCAGCTAATTGTAACAACATGTTAATGAGACACAAGATTACCCTCACACCCTTTAACCCTCTGTGGAGAGATCACTTCCCTGCAGAAGGCCTGGAAACAATCAGACCTGAACAGACAGTCCCACCCCCACCACTCGCTGAGTCGGTTTTCCATCTTGTAGGACTTTCTTCACATATCCACAATACCTGGTCAATCAAACAGCTCCACAAGGGCAAGCCAGAGAAGGAGAGACCAACTGATTTAAATATGGTTTAATTGAGTCGTTAATGTAGTTTGGTGTAGTTTTCTGTTGCAGGAGTAGGCTAGTGAGATTAGAGAATACATTTGGGTTGAAAGGTGATCTCTTGATTATGGCCTCCAGATTTATCTCCCATTACAAGCAGTATGATAGGTGGGGGCAGAAAATCTTTTGGAGGTAAATAAGAGCATGACAAAGAGACAGTTTTATCGCCACTGCTGCAGCCCTTCTTACCTCTTTGGTTAAGTAGTTAAGTTATTTTCAGTCCTCAGTTGCCTCTGTGAAAAGGCTAGAATTGTATTATCCTCTAACTGAGCAACACCCTCCTTACCCTCACAGTCTTGGCAAGGTTACAAGCATTACTGTGTGCCTGTGGGTCTTGGCTCTAGCTCTCACGACAATCGTATTTCTCGAGGGGCAGAAAATAAATGGTTGAATTGCTCTATTTTAACAGATAGAGAGCAGTGCTTTTGACCTGGGTGGTCCCAGTTTCACTGGGCCACACCACACCATCTGGTGTGAGATCAGTGAAGGTGCTGAGTAGTATTTCATCCACATGAAACAATGATCTGTCTCTCTTAAGAAATCATTTTTTATCAGTTATACATTTGGAAATTGTACTATTGAGTACTCATGTGTAGGAAAAAGAGTTAGAGGCCATAAAAAAAACCTGGACAAAGGCAGAAAGCAACTGTCATGTCTTCTCTTCAGCTTTGCATCAACATCAGGTGGTGCTAGTTAATCACGATGAGGTGGCGGGCGTCATCTGCCTCTAACCGTCAGGTGGAAGACAGATGGCCCCGAGCGCTTTCATTGTGGCTAGAGTTGAGCCATGCTCCAGGGCAATCCATCAGACCTGTAGAGGCAGTCACTGTGTTGGGGGGAAGACACAGTCACTCCTCTGTAGCCCTGGGGCCCCCTGCCCTTTGTAGCTGTCGTTCTTATAATAAAAAAGATAAAGACGCATTAACATTTGTAGCTGTTAGCTTTTCATACATATGAATACATGACATGCCACTGTGGTACACATTTCCACAAAATTCCTTTATCTGACAGTGACACTCACAAAGGCTTTTTGTACAGAATCTTAAATATATAATAGTTATTTGTGCATTGGTTTATGCTGGATTTTAATGTACTGCTCTCCTTGGTATGCATTATTCAACAAACCCATTTTCCAAGCCCCAAACCAGGCCATCTGTATTCAGGCTATCTAGCTACAGTAACCACAGCTCTGTGTAGAAATAGGGCAGCGCTGTCCGTGTTCTGCCAGCTAGGCTCACAGACCTAGAAGCTTCAAATGTCATGGCAGGTGTTGTGTGGAGCATCTGCTTTACTCCTTTCATTAGACTGGTTTTGGATTGTTGTAGCGATACAGTCTTTTTAGGGCCTCTACAAACATTGCTGTGACTTTGGAATTGACTGGTGAGAGAGATTTATGAGAGGTTGCCCACAGGATGAATATTTAACCAGCAAATCTCATTTGCAGTTATAAGGTAACTTGAAACTTATTTTAAAGCTCTTAACTTAGTTTGAGAGATGAAAGCATGGTGATTGGAGCCAAACCAAAATCATATCTTCAGTTCTGTATTCTATCATTGCATCGAGCAAACAGTTTTAAAAGGAAACAGATCTCATGCAGCAGACATTACAGTTTTACGATTTGTCTCAAGGGAAAACCACAGAAGTTATTCTGTCTTCACATGAAGTTATGGAATTTGAAATATGAGTAGAATAATTAGACACAGAGGTGCTTTTTAAGTAAGCATGGAATTATCTCAAAGGCCATTGGACTGTCTTAAATATTAAAAGGATTGCTTTGCACCATTGACAGTTATATATCACAGGAGAACACATGATATTCTCCCATCACTGTCCCATAAAGATGGGCCCCAGCATGTTAGCTCCCATTAACTGACAACTTGGTGTTTAATGGCAGCCCATTAATATAATCTGTCATATTTATGCGTCCAGCAGTCCAGCACTGTTTACTTTTGTTGTTTAAAAAGGAAAACAAAAAATTGTAACAAATATCCACAACTGTTAAATAAAGATCTAGCAATCAAAAGTACAGCGAATAAAAATAAGATGATAATTGGTAAATAAATCAAACACATGGAATGTACTGAAACTGGAAAAATATAAGTTTTAAGAAGTGGTTTAAAGGATATTACTGATTCTGCAAACCTCAGATCCTAAGACAGGGATTCCAAAGCTGAGTTATCCTGACTGCAAAAGCCCAGTCACCTTTAGTCTTGGTATTAAGAATGCTGGAGAAGCCTTGTGTGAAAGATCTGAGGCCACACAATGAGTCAACTTTTAACCAATGAGGGGAGGCTAAAGCAGGAAATGAAGGGGTTTGTATTAGCTGAAGGTGCAGCACAGTCTTTTGGCTCAACCTTGGTTATAATAAATTACAACTGCGTTTAACCAGCATCTTGTTTATAGATTTAGGATTTCTTTTTTTAGGATTCAGGGTACACATACCTATGTAGATGTGAAACTGCTCTCAGGTGTCTTCTTTTCTAAATATTATAATCTCAATGTAGTATTTATTGCTGATTTTACAAGGTTTTAACCAAGAACTCTGTCTTTTCTCTACCACCCCCCAACCCATTTCTTTTCAGGATGGTTCCAAACAGAGGCAGGCAAGGAAGAAAACTGTGTCCTTCAGTACAATGCCGAGTGACCGCAAGATCAACAGCACAGCTGCTTGCATGGCCTTCATGATGGAGGGTTGTGAGATGAAGAAAGTGCGCTCCAACTCACGTATGTACAACCGATATTTTCTGCTGGATCCAGACATGCACTGGCTTCGCTGGGAGCCATCCAAGAAGGATTCAGAGAAGGCCAAATTGGAGATCAAGAGCATTAAGGAAGTCCGTTTGGGAAAGAAAACTCCTGTTCTGCGCAGCAATGGTCTCTCAGATCAATTCCCTGATGAATGCGCCTTCTCAATCATCTATGGGGATAACTATGAGTCTTTAGATTTGGTAGCAAGTACAGCAGATGTTGTCAGCACGTGGGTGATGGGTCTGAGGTATCTGGTGTCTTATGGCCGACACACAGTAAACATGGTGGAGCCCAGCCATCCAAGTCTACGAACATCTTGGATTGGTTCAGTGTTTGAGCTAGCGGATATGGAAAAGGAAGGACACATAGACCTGTTCAGGGCCACCCAGATAATCAAGGGCCTTAATCCTGGAATGAAAGAGTCTAGGATAGAGCTGAAGTTCAAGGAGCTCCAGAAAGCTAAAGACCAATATGGAGAGGCAATTAACATGGACACCTTTGTTGAAGCCTACTGTGAGCTCTGCACACGGCCAGAGATTTTCTTCCTACTGATGCAGTTCTCCAGTAATAAGGAGTATCTGGACAGCAAAGATCTGATGATGTTTGTAGAGGTGGAGCAGGGTGTGGAAGGTGTAATGGAGGACATGTGCAGGGATATTGTTCAGAAATTTGAGCCATCTGCTGAAGGCAGGGAGAGAGGATACCTCTCCATTGATGGCTTCACACACTACCTCCTCTCCTCTGAATGCCACATCTTTGACCCCCAGCACAAGCGTGTGTGCCAGGATATGACCCAGCCTCTGTCCCACTACTACATTAACTCCTCACATAACGCTTCCCTTCTGGAAGACCATTTCTGGGGTTCGTCAGACATCAGCAGCTACATCCGAGCCCTGAGGATGGGCTGCCGCAGCATTGAGGTCATTGTATGGAATGGTCCTGATAATGAACCAGTGGTTTATGTAGGAAGTTCTGTAGCCTCGCAATTAGCGTTTTCTAAAGTCCTGGACATTATAAACCAATATGCTTTTGAAAGCTCTGAGTATCCCCTAATTCTCTGCTTGGTGACCCACTGCTGCATTCCCCAGCAGAGGGTCATGGCACAGCACATAAAGAAGATTCTCGGGGACAAGCTGTATGTTCAACCCCCCAACAAAGAAGAAAACTACCTTCCTTCCCCTGAGAAACTCAAGGGTAAACTCCTCCTCAAGGGTAAGAAGTTACCACCCAGCTGCACTGACACTGAGGGAGATGTGACTGATGAGGAAGAAGGTCTTGAAATGTCCCGAAGAGTAGGAGTCGATGAGAAGAACCAGCTAAATGGCTTGGGCTACAGAAGACTCAGACTGTCCAGGGAGCTCTCTGATCTTGTATCACTCTGCAAGTCAATCCAGTTCAGGGACTTTGAGATTTCTAAGAGGGACCAAAAATACTGGGAAATTTGCTCCTTCAATGAGGTAGATGCAAACAGGTTTGCCAATGAGTTCCCAGAGGAATTTGTCTGTTATAATAAGCGCTTTCTCTCCAGGGTATATCCCACACCTATGAGGATTGATGCCAGCAACATGAACCCCCAGGACTTCTGGAAGTGTGGGTGCCAGATTGTGGCCATGAACTACCAAACTCCAGGCTTAATGATGGACCTCAACCTAGGCTGGTTCAGGCAGAATGGCAACTGTGGGTATGTTTTGCGGCCAGCCATCATGAGAGAAGAGGTGTCCTACTTCAGTGCCAATGCTCGGGACTCCCTGCCAGGGGTGTCTGCCCAGCTTCTTCACATTAAGGTCATCAGTGGTCAGAATCTGCCCAAGCCTCGTGGGTCTGCTGCTAAGGGTGATGTGGTGGAGCCCTACATATATGTGGAGATCCACGGCATCCCAGCGGACTGTGCTGAGCAAAGAACCAAGACTGTGTCCCAGAATGGCGATAACCCTATTTTTGATGAGAGTTTTGAATTTCAGATCAATTTACCAGAACTTTCAGTGCTGCGTTTTGTAGTGCTGGATGATGACTACATCGGGGACGAGTTCATTGGCCAGTACACCATCCCATTTGAATGCCTACAGCCAGGCTATAGACATGTCCCTCTACAGTCTCTTACAGGAGAGTTCCTACCCAATACCACCCTGTTTGTCCATGTGGCCATCACCAACAGGCGGGGTGGGGGAAAGGCACATAAGAGGGGTCTGTCTGTCATGAAGGGTAGGAAGGCCAGGGAATATACCACCACCAAGAACACAGGGATCAAAGTAGTGGACGAGCTCTTCAGAGCATCCACCCAGCCCCTCAGGGAGGCCACAGACCTCAGAGAAAATGTGCAGGTAAGACCCTAGTATCAAGCTTAATCACAAAACCACTGCCTGTGTTACCCTAGGTCAGAATTGTTTTTGAACTGTTTTTGGCCTGCTCTTTTAAGCTGTGGAAGAGATTCTGTACATTTGTGACTTTTTACATTTTAATGGAGCATTTACAGTGCCTTGCGAAAGTATTCGGCCCCCTTGAACTTTACGACCTTTTGCCACATTTCAGGCTTCAAACATAAAGATATAAAACTGTAATTTTTTGTGAAGAATCAACAACAAGTGGGACACAATCATGAAGTGGAACGAAATTTATTGGATATTTCAAACTTTTCTAACAAATAAAAAACTGAAAAATTGGGCGTGCAAAATTATTCAACCCCCTTAAGTTAATACGTTGTAGCGCCACCTTTTGCTGCGATTACAGCTGTAAATCGCTTGGGGTATGTCTCTATCAGTTTTGCACATCGAGAGACTGAAATTTTTGCCCATGCCTCCTTGCAAAACAGCTCGAGCTCAGTGAGGTTGGATGGAGAGCGTTTGTGAACAGCAGTTGTCAGTTCTTTCCACAGATTCTCGATTGGATTCAGGTCTGGACTTTGACTTGGCCATTCTAACACCTGGATATGTTTATTTGTGAACCATTCCATTGTAGATTTTGCTTTATGTTTTGGATCATTGTCTTGTTGGAAGACAAATCTCCATCCCAGTCTCAGGTCTTTTGCAGACTCCATCAGGTTTCCTTCCAGAATGGTCCTGTATTTGGCTCCATCCATCTTCCCATCAATTTTAACCATCTTCCCTGTCCCTGCTGAAGAAAAGCAGGCCCAAAACATGATGCTGCCACCACCATGTTTGACAATGGGGATGGTGTGTTCAGGGTGATGAGCTGTGTTGCTTTTACGCCAAACATAACGTTTTGCATTGTTGCCAAAAAGTTCGATTTTGGTTTCATCTGACCAGAGCACCTTCTTCCACATGTTTGGTGCGTCTCCCAGGTGGCTTGTGGCAAACTTTAAACGACACTTTTTATGGATATCTTTAAGAAATGGCTTTCTTCTTGCCACTCTTCCATAAAGGCCAGATTTGTGCAGTATACGACTGATTGTTGTCCTATGGACAGAGTCTCCCACCTCAGCTGTAGATCTCTGCAGTTCATCCAGAGTGATCATGGGCCTCTTGGCTGCATCTCTGATCAGTCTTCTCCTTGTATGAGCTGAAAGTTTAGAGGGACGGCCAGGTCTTGGTAGATTTGCAGTGGTCTGATACTCCTTCCATTTCAATATTATCGCTTGCACAGTGCTCCTTGGGATGTTTAAAGCTTGGGAAATCTTTTTGTATCCAAATCCGGCTTTAAACTTCTCCACAACAGTATCTCGGACCTGCCTGGTGTGTTCCTTGTTCTTCATGATGCTCTCTGCGCTTTAAACAGACCTCTGAGACTATCACAGTGCAGGTGCATTTATACGGAGACTTGATTACACACAGGTGGATTCTATTTATCATCATTAGTCATTTAGGTCAACATTGGATCATTCAGAGATCCTCACTGAACTTCTGGAGAGAGTTTGCTGCACTGAAAGTAAAGGGGCTGAATAATTTTGCACGCCCAATTATTCAGTTTTTTATTTGTTAAAAAAGTTTGATCATGGAGAGCAAGTGCAACCAAATGCAGAGCTCTGCATTTCATTGCACTCGTTAATTCAATAACTTTGGTGTAACTGTAGTGCTGGAGAATGTAGTCCTCTGTGGACTATGAATATGCTTAGCAATTTGCAGTGCATGGTATTCTGAACATTATAAATTATACTAAAGCAAGGTCATATAATGAGAAAATTAAATTAACAGATTCTCTGGAGAGCAATAATGTATTTGATAAATTTTGTGGTCATATTAAATTATATTATGATACATCAGAGGAGCTTTTTCCAACAAAAAAATCAAAAACAAAAACAAAACAAAAAAAAACATTACAGAGCATTTTATTTCTGTATTAGGTCCAAACTATTTACATTGGACTAATTTCACTTGCTGTTGTGGACAGAGGCTTTTTGCTAATTGTGCATTATTAATGTTGTAGAGGAGTAATAAAGTGATATTGCTATACAGTTATGAGGTTTATGAATAGTGCAGTCACCAATGAAAAACACTTACTGCTTTGAGGAGAGCACTGGTTTGCTGGGCATTTAGCTTGCTGCTGTTCTTTAAACCTCCTCTAGATGAACAAATGAAGATTAGTAACTACAATGCATATTCAGCTGATGACTGGTAGCAGAAGACTTTCAGTGCAGTATATTATTTTGTGTGTGATGATTGAAGGGTGTGATACAAAACTTCTTTTATTTGCTGATTATTTCAGTAGCCTGGTGTCTTGTACATGGGTCACAGGTTGTGGAAAGATACAGACTTAACAAAATCAAATATATAATGTTGATGTCATGTACATAAGAAGATATAAAATTAGACAGACTCATGTAAGTTCTTTCAGAGGTTACATTTAACACAATCCATCTTATGATTCCAGGTCATAAATACCAAGTCTGTCCATCTGTCTTCAGTAGGCAGTAATGTCAATCTAATGTTACAGCAAACAAAAGACCAGGCCGAACTAAATAAGCAGAGATGCGATTATAGATCCTGTGGCATGCTGTCATGCAGTTTCAGTTGTGGAAATAGGCATTTACTGAAAGAAGACAATTTTCCTCTCCAAAACCCCAATACAGAGATAAATATGTTTGCGTTCTGAGAGTGAAATTGATCCTGTAATTTAGAGGTAGAAACATTATCAAATCACAGCCTGAATGGAAAAAGAGGAAGGTAATTTCAGGAAAATCATTGGAAATAAAAGTGTGAATACAGGCAACTAATGAATGCTGATGACAAAACAGTGTTTCATCTTTGGTCAAAAAATTGTGATATTTTTTGGCATAATCAAAGTGTTGCTTGTTGGAATAATCTGATTTAGAGACAAATGGCCATCTCAACAGTTTGTCATGAATATGTCCTAATCCTTGCTCAGGTTTGAGTCACAGTGGGAACATTTTATGATTAAGACATGAAGTATGAGAAAATCTGACACAGACTGATCAAGCACAGCTTAACATTTGTGCAACTCCAGTCAACTAACTTGCTAAATATGGAAGTAATCATAGACACGCCATGTGTCACAGATGACTACAGTAGCTACTGGAATACTCTATGATAATAAATGATTTTACAATCTAATCTATAGACATGCATGAAAAATGTTGGTAAGTGGGTAAATGGTTGAATGTGAATTTGTATTTTGTAACCTGGTCAAACAACACTGGCAACTGTACCGCTCACCAAACCACATTATCCTCAGGTTTGAAGTGTAAATTTGTCTTTTTAAAATGAGGAGATAAAAGATGATGAAATAAAAAAGGGGAAGTTGAGAGGAAGCCTTTAAAGAGGATAATTAATGGTGTCTTTAGAATAAAGGTCTTTACCTTTTAAATATTAAAATATGGATATTGATAAAAGCGTTTCAATAGCCAGTTGTGTGGAGCTTGGTGCCTTGGATCCGGAGGGAACTAGAAAACGGTAACAGGACCTGTGGCCAACAGCACAAGGCAGCAGCCAGGCCGCTTCGGGAAGCTTCACCACCCCTGATTTGAAGCCAAGATTAGACGTTAACATGAGCCAGGTTAGCAAGAAATATCTCCGATAATCAGATAACGGATTTCTCAGATATTATACTATACAACTAGCCCCTTTTCACTTCACCAAACTCCTTTAAGACTCCTTTTGTCCTCAAGCAGCAGAGCTTCCAAGTGACTTGCTCTGAATAACAACAGAAAGAAAAGTGTGTTTATCTATTAAAGAAGACTGAAGAACTCCATGAACATTGACTAGTGATCAGATATGATAGGTTATGTTTCATATGTTGATCTCGGCAGAAAATCTGTTATTTCTACAGGAGGCTTGAATGAATTCCTTTCCAGAGAGCTGCTGCTTATGAACCTTATAAAGTGTTGATGGAGCTGTAGGAGAGCCGCCAGCCTGGAGTTTCTTTTTATTTGCTGAAAAGTGTGTGCGCCATCATAGACACATTCATCACCACTCAGTGCTGTGGGCCAGAGAGAGAAGGAGAGGGAAGCACATAGAAGCAGAAAAAGAGAGACATGGGCAAACAGAAACAAAAGCAGTGTTGTAACCGGACACGGAGGTCTCATTTGGGGAATGTTTGAAGGGGAGTAAAGTGGGGGAAGGGACTAATTAAAAACACAAGTCTTGTAAGACCATGGCTTGGAAAACAATTTGGCTTTTATTGCACAACGGTTATCAAAAAAAGATTTATGCGCATGGTCCCGTGCACACATGCATGGAATTATACAAGCATAGTGAATGCTAATAACTTTGTCTCAGACCACACTGCGACATAAACACAAGCATGATCATGATTCTTTCTCAGTTGCACACACACACAAGGTTTTAATCCAAAGCTTCAAAGCTGTCCTGCTTCCACCATTGTGTTTCTCTGTGTCTGTGCTTACTGGCCCAAGAGGTTTTAACTGTGGCTGAGGCTCAGCATGCTGACTGTGTCCCCCGTCCACCCTCTGCATCTTCAGACGGGTTGTTGGGCCCCACAGTGACATGGGTAGACAGTGGGGCAGTGGATTTTTTCTGCCGAGCTGGAGCTCTAACTCAGGGACACAGCTGGTTCCCGCACTTCAGAGTGCTGAGTGTGTCAACTGATTCCTAAATACCAACACTGGTTTCTTCTGTTGTTGTTGTTGTTGTTGTTATTTTTTGTTTGTTTGTTTTTTGCCCACTCCTGTTCTCTCTAGGTAACCTACATCTTCTCTTCCTCAGCGCTTCTCATCATCGCCCTCACACTTTGCACTTTCTGCTTTTCATGCCTCAGATTGCGCTTTTGCTCTGCTTCTCTTTCACTTTTTCTCTCTCTTCTTGATGGGCTGCCATTCAAAAGATTAAATAAATAAATAAAGTGGGCCTGGTTTGGTTGCTTAAACTCCCATGTTGGCCACGAAACACTATAAGAGGCAGTTGCATAGTTCCTAGAGCTGCACAGACTTTGAAAACAAACATGGAGGAAGTCTGGCTTCAGTGGCCTGGAAAGCTGACTGGCCCAGAAAAGATGAGGAGTGAGTTAAACAAAATTCTATAAGAAAGTAATTATTCTTACATTGTGCTGGTTGATGACAAGACAGTACAGTATTTGTCAAATGCTTTTGTGCAAAGTGACACATACTCATACAATGAGAGCAGTTTGAGCTTTGGTGTCATGCTCAAAGACACTTTAATAGAGGAGAGGAGGAGCTTGAGGTGTGACACTAACCATGTTACTGATGGCAGACTCACTGTACTAACTGAGCTACTGCTCCCCCTGATGATGAAATAGATTTGCTATTAGTGCTAGATTAAACAATCAGGACATGCTGAGATAGAGATTTCTTTATTTATCTGGCAGCAGAAAGCTAAAATGTTCAGTGGTCCATTTAGAAATGGGACATAAGGAGAAGATGATTTTGGTGTATTGGATTGCTTTTAAGATGAGTGCAGAAAGATAAACAGATTTTGGGCAGAAAAGCATTTAAGAAAAGGTGTGAAAAGAGATGGAGAGAGTGAGGGATGAGTAACTGGATGTATCTAGCACCTCCAGGATGTTGTCAGAAGTTTGGCTCCAGAGCCTCTCGTCTGTTGAATGAGCAGACTGATGTTATGTGAAACCAGTAATTTTACTGTCACCGAGACAAACACTCACTGCTATCTTATCTAGTTTCTGGTCTGAGAGGAGTATCATGATCACTCTCATTAAATCTTCTCACTCAAGGTCATCTGCAAAGAGTGGCTGCAATATTTGCCATTCCATTAGGACCACAGTCATTTCATTTCCCAAGGATAAGAACGCTAGAGGAATTTGCCATTTTTGGTTATATCAGAAGTTGGATAGTTAATTTGGTTGGTTTCACTCAAACAGAGACGTAATGTGGACGGGAGCAGAAGGACAAAGAACAGCGCACACAGAATATTTACATGTATAACACTTCTTATGTGTTCATATCCATATTGCTATCCTACAATGTGGATGTTTTCTTTCCAGAATGCCATGGTGTCCTTCAAGGAGCTGTGCGGCCTTACCCCCGCAGCCAACATGAAACAGTGTATCCTGACAGTGTCTACGTGGCTGATAAACAGCGAGAGGTCACTTAGGGTAACAGTGGACCTCGGCGAGACCTACCCCACCATGGAGGCTCAAGGCCCTGTGCCTGAGCTGCTGCGAAAAGTGCTCACTGCCTATGACGTGGTAAACAACACGCACACATGCCTCTATCTTTGTGAGCACACTCATTCACATAATGCATTCCCTGGCCCCTTACCCATCAGAACTAATGCCTAACCATAACCCTTAACCCTAACCTGAACCCTAAAACCAAGTCTTAACCCTCAAAAAGCTGTTTCAGAAAGTGAGGACTGGCCAAAATGTCCTCACTTTCCAAAACTGTCCTCACTCTGTAGCAAAGAATACATTTTTAGTCATCACTATGCAGCAAGTACAAGAACACAAAAAGAGTATGTACCAGCATGTCATGTTGTCTTTTTTTGTATTTGATTGATGTACAGGTTCATAAATACGTATTTAAATACTTATTACACTATATCCACGTGAGACAGCAACACTTTTATTATAGTGTGCTATGTTTCACTAAATATATACTTCAGATAAAGATAAAATGTTGAAGCAGTTAAGTATGATGATAACAGAGGTTGCCCTGTCATGCTGTGGTAAGCACTGCTCTGTGCAGATCTTTCTATGCGCTGTGCTTATAAAATATTAACATTTATTTAAAAAGAAGGGGGGGGGGGGACGTTTAGTTTGCTCCCTGCCTTAATGCTAGGTTGAGTCATTTGATTCAAATTAGTCTACAGCTGTTTTTTGTATAATTCTGCACATCCTCCTCCATCTTGGATCCTCTCTTACACTCTGCATTTCTTACCACTTCACATTGGCAGAGCCCAAAACAGGGTTGGAGGACTCTGTCTGTAATCAGTTACAACACCATCCCCCCATCCAGAGGTCGACCAGTCAAGCTAATGTGCACACATACATGTGTGTCTATATACAGTATAAACATGTTTGCCTTACTCTACTTAAACTACCGTTAACTGATTATAGCCATCACCTAAACTTTAAAGAGAAATGGACCCAAAAATCTTGAACATAAAACAGCTATAACACACACTAAAACTCAGTGTCAATTTCAGCAGTGATGTTTTTAATAATCTCATAGATAATTGGCCAGATTTTAACAATTGCAATGCTGTGTCTTTATATTTACAATAGAAAATAGTCAGTTGTCTTATTCAACAGCTAATGTCAGCTTAGTATGATTCAGAACTTGGGCCTCTTTTCAGCCGTCACAGGAAGAACTTTACTACATGTTCCTTTCTAGACCAGAATGCAGTGCAGCTTCAGGAAAAGTTGCATTCATGACTCTTTGCAATGTAGCTGTTGGAAACATTTGCTGTTTGTCATACTTTCACTATTGCTGCAACTCTCTCCTACACATTCATCTCACGGAAGGTTTTGGAAATGTAGGCTCGGATAATGCATCACGTCATTAAATCCGATGTTCTGCATATTTTTGATTTTACCAAAGGTTTAAAACATCCCCTTGATGAAGGGACTGTCCAGAATTTTCTGCACTGATGCACTGAAACTGGTCCGCATGACAATTGCAAAACAAGAAATGGCATGCACATACATGTGCACACACGCGTACACTCACAGTATGACAGTCCACTTCCTGTCTCCCTACTATTGTGAAACTGCACAGTGCTCTGATTATCAGACGCAAAAGTAGAGAGAAAAATAGGACCTTGCATTTCTCCCGCACTGTTTCCTTGAAGTACCGATTTACATGTGACTTCAATGCAATAAACTATAAATGCCAAGTCTGTTAAATTTACTCCGAAGTTTTTTTTTCTCTGTAGCTCTTATGGACAAGCAGCATAGAGAACAAATTTATTAGGTATAGACAGATATATATAGAAGCACAAAAATAAACTACACAGACTCAAATACACAGCTAAGAGACAACTACAGTATCAACATGTACATGTCAGATTTGTTGTTGTTGCTACTGTATGTACATGGCTATGGTCCAGTTACTGCAAGAATGAAATAAATATATGAATAATTATTTACAATATTGAAGTTTTTTATGAACAGAGAGTATCTGTACAGTACATTCTGTTTCTTTAGTTTGAGTTATTATGCTGTGATGCTAAACAGGCAAATTACATTTTCACTTTTCTTGTGTTTTTTTTTTTTTTTACTTTCTCTTGTTTTTACATACAAGTCAAAAGAAACATAAGCTATGTTGCTTACATGATGTTAGGGTGCGCTCGAACACAGAGTGAGCGAGCAGATAAAATGCGGACCCAGGTGGCTGGTTTCGGTGCAAGCAGTGAGGTTTGTTTACAGTGAAGGTAGTGACATATATACAGGAGGAGTAATGAGGTAGATGACCGGGTGTCGATCAGCAGCAGCAGAAAAACAGTCAGTGGTATGGTGGATGATGATGTACCGGGCTGCGGACGCAGAGGTCACTCCTGGGCTGGTCGAGGTGGAGGTGATGATGGCTGTAGACAGAAGAGCA